GACTATAAGCATTGGAGGGCACGACCACCTTTCATAGCTAGGGGCCGGTTAGAGTTATCAAACCGGTGATTATGGGCTTGACATATGATATACCGAGGCATTTGGACCGAGTATTCAAGACCCAAAGGGGAAATTCAAATTGGGCTAAGAAGTGAAGCCTAATCTAAGTCCAAGCATAGCCGGGCCCAATCGAGAAATCCTTCGCCCGATTGGGAGAATGCCCAGAACAAGAAGTCGAAGAAAAAGGTGGGCCCGATCGGGCGGCCCTTCGCTCGATCGGGCGCGTGTTTCTTAGGACATGATTTCGGCGATTTACTTGGTTTTAATTAGGATTAGTTAAGAGTTTGGTATAAGTACGTTTTATTGTTATGAGTTTTAGTACCTCTTCTCTTAGACTTTCTCTCTCTACTTAGCTTTATTTTCTCTCTCTATAACTCAATACTTTGTTCTTGATTCAACTCATTATTTCCGTTAACTTTTGTAACGATTTCTTCTCCATTAATTTCAGTAATTTTATTTCTTTAATTCGTCATGTCTCCTTTAATTGCTTTGATTAGTTTAGATTTAATTATGTGTGAGTAGTTTTCTTTCTAGGGTTTGTGGGGATCCATAAATAATATGAAGGGGTAATTTGTTATTGTTGATTGTCAATGCTTGATTAATTTCCTATTGATTGATTTAATGTTATGCAATTAGATTAGACCTGGTTTAATTGTATGAGTTATGCAATATTGATTCGAGATTCAAGAGATGAGAATTGATGTTTAGGCTTAGTTTCAATAGGCGGACTAATTGATAAATGGTTAAGTCGAGATTCAAGAGATGAGATTTAGTACCGATAAATTAACTCTGTGATGGTAGTACGTAGTGAAAGCCCTTTATGATCTGATTAATCGATACATTGATGATTGATTGTTATGTTTTACCCTGGAATATTATTTATTGGTGAACCTATGCCCTAGGTCTTATATTCATTGATTTTCCTCCTACTTTTATTCCTTCCCACTTTTATTCTTAGTAGTTTAGTTTCCTTTATAACAACAAATTGGTTACTTAATAATCTAGATTATATTGATTAATTATTAGGAATAAATTGACTTGTTTCTCTGTGGTTCGACCCTTCTTCCCTATCTGCATAGTTAGTAAATTTAGGTATTATTTTTTATTAAGTGATTACGACTTTAGCCTGTCAGGGGTGACATGAATGCTTGTTTGAGAAGTTGCTAATAGGAGACAGAAAAAAAGAGAGGAAGTGTAGAGGGGGAAAGAGGAGAGAGAATGAAAGAAACATGTATCAGGCAATTGATATCTTATATCAATCAACATTAGGGACATATTAGACACTAATAAAAACATATCAGCCAACAAAAGGTATTTATCACCCAACAAGAGATACATATAAGCCAACAAGAGGAGTATATATATCAGCCAATAAAAAGGTATTCATCAGCCAACAGAAGGGATATATTAGACAACAAAAGGATGAAATTAAATTAGCAAACAAAAGCAACAGGTAAGCTAGCAAAATAAACACATCAGCCAACAAAATGAACAAAATAAATATTTCAGCCAACTAAAGAAATATATAAGCCAAATGATTATATACTTAGGCTAGGTTTTCTTCGTATTTTTATGCTCGTTTTTAGTCTTTTATGTCGTGTTTTTAGGGAATAATGCTTGATTTGCGTGTTTGTGTGTTAGTTTAGAGAAATGCATGCTTTTAATGGTTTTCTTATTATTTTATTTATTTCTCGGCTATTTCTCTCGCTTCTTTGTTCTTTGACTTGTTTTGTAGGTGTGTCGAGTTTCCCGGGATTTAATTATCAAGGAGGAAGCTTAAGCGCATTCAAGGAAGTCAACGGAGCCAAGTTCAGGAAGCCAAGCATGCAAGTCAAATAACCAAGCAAGCTCCATAAGCACGAGGACCAGGGAAGCGACCCCGAGCACCTAGACCGCTGCCCTAAGCAGCCACGCTCTGCAGCAGCACAACCCGAGCTGCCTTGCGCAGCAGCACAGCCGTGCACCCAGCAGTCGCGGGCGAGGGGTGGCTGCACCTCAAATCTGCCATTTTGGGCAGTTTGCCACCGCGGGCTGGTCACAGGATCCCCGAGGGTGCGACTTCCGTGGTGCCTTGTTCTCCTTTGCGGGCGCGACTTTTTGGGTTTTATTTGCGATTTCGTTTCTTTTCTCCATTTGTTTATATATTGTACAGCTTTCTTTAGTCTTCATTCAAGTAATTCTTTAGTTTAGAATAGTTTATCTTTCCTCCAAGGAGGATTAGGTTAGATTATTAGGAGCTCCTCTCTCTAGTTTAGGAGTAGTTTTAGAGAGAGAAAGTGAGGGATTTCAATGGTGGTTTGAGAGGTTGAAGATTAAATGGTGACAATTGTATTGTAGATCTAGCTTCTTAATCAATCAATGAGCATTTCTCACTCTATCTCACCTTGTTGATTTGTTTAATTTCATGTTTGTTTGATTTGATTTTGATGTTTGATGCTTGATTAGTGTAGTTGTTCCTGATATATTGTTGATTCTTGATTTCTTTAGTTGTTAGTTGATAGTAGATGATGATTCTTGAATAGTTGTTTGGCTAGAAATTGGGTGAAACTTGTATGATTGATTGATTATGACTAATTTGGGAATTGTGTTGATTGATTGTTGAGATTAAAGTGATTAATGAAGGTTTGCATGTGTGTAATTCGATTAGGCTTTAAGAATTATGCTAGATTGCATTGTAATTGCTAATGACACGACCAATTGATTTAGGAATTGCAGTTATTGATTGGTTTGGATTGTGATTCTCTTAGTTTGTTATTCATAGTGAACCCTACCTTAACAATTAGGAGATAGCTCTTTGATTCCAATTGATAGCTCTTATCATTAGTCTTCACAACCTTTGATTGGCATGCTCTTCCCAAGTTGTTGCAATTGTCATGATTATTTGTTGATCCCCGTTCCTAGTGTTTAATTAGTTTGGTTACTTGTTTTGTTAGTTGTTAGTATTCTCTCTTTATCTTTGGCTTCGACCTAGCTTAGGCACCCAAATCGAAAGTATTTGAACATTACCGTTCCTTTGGGTTCGACCCTTGACTTGCCTTTATACTCCTATTTAGGTTTGTTAAGTGTTTATAAATTTAGTTTGACTTAGGGAGGATTAGTAAACGACCTAGTTTTCCCCTCGTCAATATATCAACCAACAAATGAAACATATCAGCCAACAAGTAAAATATATCAGCCAAGCCAGCCGCACGGAAAATTTGTGTGTGGGCATCCGCACGAAATAGCTTCTATAAAAAAAATGAAGGCTTAAATCTAACCGAGGAGGCTAGTACAACCTCTTCCTTCGTTAAAAGTTTGTGTGAGTTTTGTGTGAATAGTGGGTGAAAAGTAAGGTAGATTGCCATTCATAAAAAGAAAGAAATTGAGGTTAACTAATAGTGACAATTTTATAAAAAGAATGTGTGAACTATATAGAATTGATTGAATATTGAAAACTAACACAATATTTAAAGATATTCCGAAAAGAACTGTGGGTGCTTTATACATTATTATAAAACGGAAAGAATATATAACATATATGCCTTGTTTGACAATTGGTTGTTGAATGGTCTGATTAATTCTTTGTATTGACTTTTTATGTTGGTTGTTTCACTATTGGTCTTTAATTAAATATGTTTGGTAAAGTTGGCTGTAAGGATAGAAATGTAACACGGAGTAGTAATTACTAAACATTCATTTCGACTGTTTGACCATATCCAAAAGCCAAAAGCCACAGAAAAAGTTGTTTCCGAGAGCCGCAAAGCCGAAGCACAAAGCAAAGAAGCGCTCAAAGCTCCTCAATGATGCTCTTCACGACTTCACCAAATAAAGCGCTATAACACAAATATAGTGAAAATAGGATAGTACACCAGGGTGCACCATGGTGCACCTGATAAATGAAAAATAGGCGAAAATAACATAATTTGGTTGAACAAAGAATATACCGTGTTTGACAAAGAACATACTCCCTCCGTGTTTAATTAAGTATTACAGTTTGACCGGCATATAGTTTTAGGCAATTTAATTGACTTAAATAAATAAGAGGTAAGTGGGGTAGTTGGAGTATTAAAATATTGTAAAAGAAAGATAGTGAAATTAATAATTAATTGAAAAGTAATGAATGTGAGAGGAGAGATATAATAAAAAAAGTAGTAGTGGGTTTGGGTGGGGACCATGAGAAAAAAGAGATGTAATATTTTAATGTAGCTTTTTGCCAAAAAAAGAAGTGTAACACTTATTAAAACACGACCGGATTTGGTAAGTGTAACACTGAAAAAAACACGAAGGGAGTACCTATATATGTTTGATAATATGTTCTTTTATACTTATGTTCTTTAACATATACTTATATTGATTAAACATGTTTTTTTGAGTTTCAATAATATATACAAAGTATGTTCTTTGAATTTGGCTCATATGTTCTTTGAATTTGGCTCGTATGTTCCTTGAGGTAATGAGTGATGCACACATTGTATTATTTATTATTATTATTATTATTATCATATATATTTAAATAATTTTTGTTATCGTATGTTCTTTGAGTTTGATTAGTGTGTTCTTTAAGTATGAACTATATGTTCTTTACATTATAACTTATGTTCTTTTAACAATTTTGAATTTTAAAATTTGAAATTTAATTTGAAAATGAAATCTTGAAATATTTTTAGTTGAAAATAATTTTTGAGAGTGAAAACTGAAATTATTGTGGAAAGTTGAATTTTTAGGGAGAGAAAAAACTATTTTTGGGGGAAATGAATTTGGCAAAAAAAAAAAAAATGTTAATGCATAGTTTTTCATGAAATTTTAATAAACTTTTTATCATGTTCTTTTTGTAATGTCTATATATACTTTAGTAATGCAGTTCTTTGTCAAACAATTATATATATTCTTTTTCAAACCCTATATATTCATTTTACCTTGTTTTTATATAACTAGGTGCACTCTGATATGCACCTGGTGGCTGGTGCACAAATCAAACATTACAAATACTCCTTATATTGATACAAAAGGCGCCAAAAACCAACAATCAGCATTTCATTATCAAAATTTTGAAATCAAACAACAAGCTTAGCTGAAAAAGCCTGAAACAAAACAAAACCACCAACATTCAAAACCTTGAGCAACAACAATGGAGGGCGGGATGATCTCAGTAGATCGATGGGCGAGAGGAAGCCAAGCTTACTTTCTTACGCATCTTCACTCCGATCATACGCGCGGCCTCTCGTCGACTTGGTCGCATGGTCCGCTCTTCTGCTCTCGCACCACCGCCAAGCTCTTCCCTCTCAAATTCCCCGATTTCAACTTCGCTTTACTCCGTGTCGTCGAAATCGGGTCTTGGCATCATCTTTCTCTTTCCTCTCCTTCCTCTGGATCTCCTGCTCCTATTCAGTTTATGCCAATTGATGCTTTTCACTGTCCTGGTAATTCTCAATTTTCATTTTTGTTAACCCTAATTTTGGAATTGTTATGTTTTTCATGTAATTGAGTTGAATATGCTTGTGTTTCATATGATTAGAATTAAATTTTGGAGAAATTAATTCCTTTCTAGGGTTGATTTGATTTTCATTGTTCGTTTTTAACACTGTATATGTTTTGAATTGATTATATGATTGAGTGATTTTGGAATCAGTTAAGTTCTGATCAACAAACAAATTATCGATAGATAATTGTAAATTTTATTTGGATTATAATTTGTAAAAATGTCATTACTTGATCCTTATTCTGAAAAAAAGAAGTTGTTGTCAGTTGAGTATGAAAACATTCAATCTTTTTGAGTGCATGTATTTTTCAGTTTTATTTTCAAAATGCAACATAAATTACCACAAATTCTGGTTTATAATTCCACCTTCATGATTCATCAATATTTACATTGTTGTATTACTTGTTGAAACTTACTTCCTTGTTGCTTGTTCTAAATTTAAGTGTCTGTTTGACTTTTGCGCTATTTATATATATTTTTTTTGAAAGCAAACTCGAGCAGCATATATTAATTCACATCAAGCTCAGCCAAGGCATTAATACCTTGGGGGATCGAGTCAGAGAATACAACCTCAAGACCATAAGGGGGGGGGGGGGGGAACCTAGCAGCGAAATGTGCAACAACATTGCCATTTCGTTTTACATGATTAGCAGCAAAATAATTAAAACTCTTCCCTACTTCCAAAATGTCTTCAATCACCAGGTTAAAGGGAGTTCTGCCTTCCTGTTTCTGCTTTATGGCATTGAAAATGGACAGAGCATCTCCCCCCAGCTCAATGTTGTAGAAACCAAGCTCCTTCGCAGCAAGCACCCCATGCCTAGCAGCCATTGCTTCTGCTAGTTTGACAGAAAAGTCACCAGGGCAACGCTTCACACAAACAGCCAACACCTTGCCCGTATCATCACGAAACACCGCACTAAGCCCCACTCCAAGACCAGCCAGCATTGCCGCATCAGTGTTCACCTTAACAGTCCCCACACTAGTCGGTTCCCAACTACTACGAGCAGGCACACACCTAGAGCAACCACTCCCAACAGCACTGTTATATCTCTTGTACTCGGTCACAAGCTTTACAAAGCCCACAGCTCCACTAACAACACAACTCCATGGGCTGTTGAAAACCACAGATTTACGGATTGACCAGGCAGCCCACGCCAAAGCAGCAAAGGACAGTAGTTCCTCTTTGCTTAATTTGGTACTCAACCACAGAAACAACTCCCCAAACGAGGCCATAGGAGCATCCAACAATAAGTCATGGAAGGAGGAAGGTTCCCAGATTTGTGAAACATTCGGGCATTGAAAGATAGCATGACAAATAGTTTCATTATCACCATGACAAAGATCACACCTTCCATCTTCACGAATGTGCCTTTCTCGCAATCTGTCCAGTGTAGCCAAGGAACCCGAACAAGCACGCCATAAGAAGTGGCATAATTTTGGTGGCCCCTTCATGTTCCAAATCAGTTTCCAGATTGCCTCACCCGCATTACCAAATTGCTGTTCCCAACCTCGAATGTGGCCAAGCCTACCCAGCCAATAACCCACTTTGTGGTGTAAATTCCATCATTAGTCGGCCACCAGTATCTAACATCAGCAGGGCACCTCTTACTCAAAGGTAAGCAATGAACTCGAGCACTATCCTCTCGAGTTAGATGAAGATCAAGCATATCAGTACACCATTCCCCCTTATCACAATCAAACAAATCAGAAACAAGCATATCAGCAGGGCTATCAATATTTGGTGAGGGAACCGAGCTCACACTATTTCCTGGCATCCAAGCATCATCCCACACGTTTATATTTCTTCCATCCCCCACACGCCATTTCATCCCCTCGAGAAGAAGGGATTTTGCCCCCCAAATACTACGCCACACGAAGCTAGGATCATGTCCCCTACTCGCAGAGACAAAATCACCATGCTTAAAATATTTAGCCTTCAAAACTTGATACACCAAGGAGTTAGGATTGGTAATCAATCTCCAACCTTGTTTTGCAAGGAGTGCTTGGTTGAAGACCTTCAAGTCACGTAACCCCATTCCACCAAGAAACTTCGGGAGACATAGCTTCTCCCAACTAACCCAATGCATTTTCCTTCTAGTCCCATCTGCCCCCCATCAAAATCGAGCAAGCATCGAATGGATATCATCTAAAATTCCATCCGGAATTTTAAATAGCCCCATCATATAAGTCGGGATGGCTTGTGCGACTGATTTGATAAACACCTCTTTCCCCGCTTGTGAGAGTAGCTTCTCTTTCCAGCCTTGCATTTTTTTCTATATCCTATCCGTTAAACATGAAAAGACCATTTTCTTCGATCTTTCGATAATAGTAGGCAACCCCAAATATTTCTCATGTTTTGCCACCGCTCTCACTCCCAAGACAGTAAGAATATCTCTCCTTCTAAGCGCCTCAACATTTTTACTAAAGGTAGCTTCAGATTTCTCAAAATTTATTTTTTGTCCCGATGCTCTGTCGTATGTGCTAATAATGTTAGCAATTGTAGAACATTCCTGAAGCGTAGCTCTAGCAAATAGAATACTATCATCCGCGAAAAATAGGTGTGAAATTCTCGGGCCACCTCTACACACCATGGCACCATGAATAAGCTTCTCATCCGCAGCCTTACATAAGAGCCTTGAAAAAGCCTCGGAAACAAGCAGAAAAAGATAGGGAGATATTGGATCCCCTTGTCGAAGTCCCCTTTCCGGTCGAACATGCCCATCTGTCACACCATTCCACTTAAAAGAGTACGACACACTTGAAAGTCATTGCATCACCTTGTCTACCCACAAAGCAGACATACCAAGCCGAGTCATAACCGCTTCCAAGAACGACCATTCAACCCGATCGTAAGCCTTGCTCATATCAAGTTTTAAAGCCAACGTGCCTTTCCTACCCTCTCCCTTTCTCTTCATTGCATGAAATATCTCAAAAGCAACAATAGCATTGCCCGTAATTAACAACTTCGGAAGAATTAGTTTCAGTCTGGTTAGCAAGCACTTTAGAGATCAACTTATACACAACATTACAGAGGCTAATAGGGCGGAATTCACTCATTTTAACAGGATCATGACACTTTGGGATAAGGACAATGCACGTCTTATTAATCTAAAAAATATCTCTATCATTGTTCCACCAATCTCTAATAAAATTGACAATATCAGGACCGATAATGTGCCAAAATTTTTGGTAAAACAAAGCATGCATACCGTCGACACCGGGGCTTTTATTCGGGTGCATATGAGAAAGAGCATCAAAGATTTGGCTCACCTAGCAGGCAGTGGTTCATTTCTTCAGTGACAATACTATCAAAATACTATCAATTCCTGCTAAAGCATCATCAAAATCAGATGGCAGCGATGAAGAGAATATGTCAAGAAAATAATCAGAAATAATTCTTTTCATTTCAATCTCATCATCACATAAAACACCATTTTCATCCTCAAGCTGTCTAATCTAATTTCGTCGTTGTCTGTGACTAGCTTTATGCTGAAAGTATGAGGTGTTCTTGTCCCCGTCTTTAAGCTCATTCGCCCTTGCTCTAGCATGCCAGTATGACTCCTCATACCTATGAAGTTCATCCTACTCCACCACAATTTCTTTACATTTATTTAGCATAACAACATCAGCCTCTTTCGCTTGCCATTCTTGAAGCTCTGCCTCTTTCGCCCTGATCTTCTTCCTAGTGTCACCAAATGAAGTGGCTGCCCACGATGACAAGGACCTCCCACACCTAGCAATTCTTGCATTAACTGCCAAACTTGGGCTCCCCTCCCATGTAGATTTCACCACTTCCTGGCAATCTGACTTTGCCAGCCACATTGCTTCAAAAAAGCAGCTCTTACCCTTCCTTTGTTTCCTGCCATTTCCATCAGTTTGAAGGAGAATTGGGGCATGGTCAGAAGCATAGAGCGGCAGGTGCCTCCCAATGTAATAAGGAAAAATGTTGCACCATTCATCACAGGCCAAAAAGCGGTCGAGCCTCTCTCTCGCAATATGCTGAGGATCATTCCTTCTCTGCCACGTGAAAATATTGCCCCTATATCCCAAGTCATTCAGCCCACAAACCTCCACCACCTCCCTAAACTGATCAATCATTCTCTCACTTCTCCTTACATCCCCGTACTTTTCCTCATCTCCTAAAATCTCATTAAAATCCCCAAAGAAAATGATGGGAATACTGATGTTTTCCTTGAGGGATTTCATAAGTACAAAAGTACGATACTTATTCTCCCTCTCTGGCCACCCGTAAATGCCCACCGCAGCATACAAAGGGATATTATTTGCACTCCTAAACTCCACTGCAATGTGATGTACCGAGTAAGAAATGGCCTGAACATTGGTCACTCTCCACCATAGACCCAATCCCCCTGAATTTCCCATACTACTCAAGCAAATCCCATCCTCAAATCCACATCTATTACGAACGGTTTCTAGCCTTTTATTATCGATCATGGTCTCCATAACAAACACAAAATTTGGGCGGTCTCTCCAACACCACGATTGGAGTTTTCGAACTTTCCGAGGATTGCCCAATCCCCGGCAGTTCCAACTTAGGGTTTTCATTGTTGTTCACGGGGTTGGTCACACCCAACACCCGCTACTTCCATGTTAACCAATGAGGACACCACACGTGCACGTTTGTTTAAGTCATCTTCCATTCCTATATCATCATCAATACTCCCTTTTCTTTTTACACCCACTGTCTCCTTTCCACCAACTCTCCCATCTGTCAACCCTACTTTTTTAAGTTTCACACCTTTTTTTGCCAACTTCTTGTTTCCCCTACCCCCAGCTTTGAATATCATCCCCTGTTAACACATTTTCCTTCGACATTCTCTCCTCCTCAACCTCCATATCCTCCCCCTCAAGGATGGTATTGATCAATGCCACAGAACCATATTTGGTTCAGGTATACTATGACCTATATCTCCATTCTCTAAAGCTAACTGAATTCTGCCATTCTCTCTATCAAATCCCTCCCCTAACTTATGTGACCCCCTTCCCTCATCCTCCCTTTTCTCATCACTCGTCCCACTTTTTAAAGATTTTTTACAAACAAACAACACCTTCCTGCTAGCCTTCACCTCTTCTACCTCCTCTACCAATTTCTTCCTGCCCTTCCTAGGCGTTGCCCTCAGACTCAAACTCCATCCCATTCCCTGATGTTGCTCCTCTTCTGGTACATTGAGACAATCCTTTTCACTATGCCTCATAACCCCACACATCAGACAAATGAACGGCAGCCGTTCATATTTAACTCCCACCTTGATAACCCGTCCATCTTTCCCTTTCATATTCAGAAAACGACAGAGGGGTTTAGTCACATCTATGTTCAATTTCACTCTCCTATATTTATCCAAGCCCAGATTATCATCCTCCACCTCCAATAGATCACCCATAGACGCTGTTAATGCAGCAACAATTGCATTCAATTGACGGTTAAAAGGGAGATTCTCCGGCTTAACCCAAAACGGGGAGTGGGTTAGAGAAATCTCCGCTGGCTGCTCATTCCCTTCCACTTCTTTGAGGAGAAGGAGGTTATTTTCAAAGCACCAAGGCCTTCCTTCCAAGACTTTGTCTTTATCTTTCCAATGGAAGAATTGGAAAGCGAAGAGATTGACACCAATTGCACGAATAACAAGTCTTCTGGAAACCGCCCAAGCATGGGTCATTGTTCTTTTGAAAGCCTCCAAATTAATCGATCTATCACAGATTAATTTCCCAACAAGCATTAGGGAAACTTGGTCCTCCGATTCATCATTCTCGACATCGCCAACATCAACAATCTCGTGTTCTAGGTCATTGATTCCCAAATTCGCACACTGTTTGATTAGGTCGTCGGCCATGATTGGCCGGAGAAATGCCCTTTCTTCCGAGGTAGTTCTCGCCCTTTCTCTCGAGGAAGCAATCGCCCTTTCTTTCAAGGGAGCCTTGCACTATTTATACTTCTAATTTAAGTATTTCCTTTGAATTCAAATTTTAACTAATATTGAAAAAAACTTCGTATTATCTAAAATATTGTTGGTTTAGTCTCAATATTTTTTGATGAACTTTTAATAATATTTTATTTTTTTTAAAAAAAATACTACTACTAGTATTAGAGACATTGATAGTGAAAATTAGGCGTTGGCAATTAAAAGGTTAGAATTAATAAAGCTATATGCAGTACAATATAATTAAAAATTGTTCTATGATTAAAACAACAACAAAATATTAGTCCCAAAATGATTTGGGGTCGGCTAACATGATTACATGAATCGTCATAAAGAACCGTACGACATAAAGAAAAGGACTCAACAAGATAATCATTTGAAAGAGTTTGAAAAAAAGGTGAGTAAAGTGAGCAAAAGAAAGAGCATCCAAGAAAAATTTAGGGGGTTTTATGAGAGAACCAAGAAAAAATGTTCTATGATTATGATTGTAAAAAAATATGACACATAGTTACCCTTTACCCCAAAAGGATGGAGTCTGCCCGTCTGTTGCACGAATAAAGAATTTATAACTCATGGTCATCCACAAAGAAATTCTTTCTCCATTTGTTTCTATATAGTGCTACATATGCATTCCCACTTTCTTCATGTTATTTTTATCTCCTTCTATCACAATCATCTTTAGCTTTCCTTGGCTGCTATTGAAAGATCTGTCTTTCCTACTGATACAGTGGTACATCCTCTAGTTGGTTTCAAATGTTCTAACCAATGTAGCTGATTCTTTCTTATTTTATTCTCAATATCCGCGAGTCTAACTTCATATCGAATTTCTACATTGCTAATATTTTCCCTAGAGGCTTTTCCACACCCATTTCACCATACACATCTTTACTATACTACACTCATCTTCTTAACGTGCTCCTTTACGGTCCAACATTATAACCCATACATAGTGCCGCTCTAAGGCCTCTAACTGCCATTCAATAGAAGTCTCCTTTCAACCTTAAAGGCATACTCTGCTCTCCTCTTCAGCCACGCACACTTAAATCTATGAGTTACATCTTTATTGATGTCACTATTCCTTTGCAAACCGAGATTTGGAGGAAAATTAGACAGTTTCAATCTGCTTCAAAATTTTGAGTGTGGGGTTAACCTGAGGGCTATGATATGTTTTATACGCTTTCCATGCTGCAAATGTCTGTAGGCTATCTCCTTGTCTTTCATTCTAATTGTGTAGAACTATGCTTGAGATTTTTACCCTGGTTTACATGTGCTATTAATTGTTATGAACAGGGGCTGTAATGTTTTTATTTAAGGGGATCTTTGGTCATGTTCTATACACGGGGGATTTCCGTTGGGAAGCAACTGGTGAGAGGTCAATGAAAGCAAGGAACATGCTTCTTGATGCTCTCCATGGTGCTAAAGTTGACCACCTTTACTTAGACAATACCTACTGTAACCCTTTATACTGTTTCCCTACACGAGAAGTTGCTGCTCAACAGGTACTTTTCAGGTCCTCTATTGTGTAGCAACTTGGTGTTTACTATATACAAAGAATTATTTTGCTGCTAGTGCTTAGTTGCAAATGATTGGCTTTTCTTTTATGAAAAATGAAAAGGAAAAGCGGAATAATGTGTGCATTGGAAAAGGATTGTTTTATATTTATAAATTTATTTAATGCAGATGTGCTGGTTGATTATCTAATTGTGACTACCTACTCAAACTAGCGTGTGATGTGCTATTTCTTGACTTTCTAGTTGCCTACTTAAATTGATTTAGTCTGCATGCCTACTTGGAACTAATATTTTTATTAGCAATTAGGAATATTTGTGATGATCACTTGGTTGTTTTTTTCTCTGTTGGAAGAGTTGGAGATGATTTATCATTTGCCATGTATATATTAAAGAAATAGCACAATTAAGAAAATTATATTAAATTAGGAAATTTGCAAAAAACCACCTTTTAAATCTTGTTTTTTTTGCATATAACCACCTTTAAAAAAAATGTTGCTAAAGACCACCAATTTTAAAATTTTTGTTGCAAAATACCACTTTTTACGCCAAATTTATCAATTGTTTTACATTGAAATGGTGGTAATTTGCAATAAAAATTTTAAAATTGGTGGTCTTTCGCAACATTTTTTTTAAAAGGTGGTTATATGCTAAAAATAAGATTTAAAAGGTGGTTCTTTGCAAAAATTTTCATCAATATCCTACATGCAAAATTCTTGTGAACATAATATAGAATTATAATTTCTGTTGTGATAATTTTCTGTTCAAAAGCTTTTTTTACAAAATTTAACGATTGAAAAAACTTATATGATGACTTAGCTTTTGACTCCCTGAGTAATTGTCTAATACCTACATCTTACTTTCTTACCTTTAAAGATATAACACAAATTACTTTCTTACCTTTAAAGTTATAAGCCAAAAGTACCCGTGCATCTCCTCCTTTATACTTTTGATTCCCTATTTCTTATTTTAACTCCCACTTGTTATATTTTGTTAGTTATATTGTGTAATTTGATAAGTGTAGATTGAATCAACCTCCTTTATTTGTGTTATTTGAGACATTACATTAATTGGTTTTTCTTTGAATTTTTGTTGTATGGATTTTTTTAGCATGTTTGGATTTATATTTTGCTAATTTTCTTTTTGTTTTTGTTTTTTTTTTGGCCTATTCAAGCTGCATGCGTTTTTTGAAATTATGAGTTTTCCGTATCCTGTCCCGTACTCGTTTTTGTGCCCGTATCCATTATTGTGCAACATTGGCTGAAAGGATTTCTGAACTTTAATTTTCTGCTACTTCAAGGTAGAATCTGTGAGGTTATACTGTTATAGAAGTTTTAGAAAAATCCTCAGGACTTGTACATGCTTTTCGCAAATACTTTAACACCTTTAACTAGAGGCTACCCTTTATGAATTTTCGTTCAATTTTGGCTGGCGAGGATATTAATAACAGAAGGAGATATATGTAACGTTTTTGCAAGTACATTCAATCAACTAGCTGTTTTTTCTCTGAAAGTATATTCTGACAAATGGCGGTTAATAGATACTTTGTAATTGGCAAGCGAGTTACATTATTAGTAATTTATCTTGTGTAAACTTGATATTATAATCCATCTTAAGTTGACTTTTTAATCCATCTTATGTAAATTTGAGTTTTGAATGCATCTTAAGCAAACTTGAATCCTCAAATTCTCATTATAAGTGTTGGTGACAACTGCTATGACAGCTACTGAAAAATGACACCATAGCTGTTCATGTAATTGCTTTTATTGATAGCTTCACTAATGGCTGATTTGCAGGTTATAGAGATCATTGCTTCACACCCAGACCATGACATCATCATTGGGATTGACTCCCTGGGTAAAGAAGATCTGTTGCTTCAAATTTCACGTAGTCTGAAGATTAAGGTTTGAACCTTTTATAAAACTTGATTTTAGAGTTTGCTGATCCCAATTCATCAGAACTAGGTAACTAAGAACCAAGAAATGCATCTGATTTTTTTAAAGGTTTTAAATGCTTGACGGATGATTTACTGTGCATATAGAGGACTAGGATGCTTCATTTTATTGTTTATTCTTCTTTGTAATCTTTGATACAATTTCAGTCTCGGAATGAATATCTACATGGGTCATATTTTCAAATTAGCCTTAATTGGAGGACACCAAGAAAAACCAAGTATCAAGAGGTTCATCTGTTCCATGTTTATTTCCAATGTCTACTGATGCTATAACAAATTGTTATATCATTCCTATCACTGAAGTTTATTTGATGTTAAAGGCCAAATTGAGGAGCTGGTTGGATTTTGTTGCAATTATTAGGTATCTCTATTAAAATTATAATTTACACACTGACCAAGGAATGATATATTTAGAGTTGTACTGTGAAATGAAGTTCAAAAGCTATAACTATAAATGGCATCCTATATTCCAATGTGGTGCCTTTTTTTTTTGGACTCTATTAGTTACTGTAATGCAAGTCTAACATCAACACACTATTGCATTATACATGTTCAATATTATGGATTATATGGTTAACCGTCAAATATTTTGGACTCTGCTCCCTGTCCCTCATTTGCCTGCTAGAAATAACAAATTAAAACATTTTAAAGCTTGTCATATTGCGCACTATTATGTTATCTAATTGTATCTATTTCCTTTTCTTTTCCGGCTCCAAAGATCTGGGTGTGGCCAGAGCGGTTACAGACCATGCATCTTCTTGGTTACCCTGATATCTTCACAACCAGGACTTCCCTGACAAGAGTTCGAGCTGTTCCTCGTTACAGTTTCAGCATTAACACCTTAGAGGCCTTAAACGCCAAAAGGTCGACTATAGGAATTATGCCATCTGGTCTTCCATGGGTAGTGAAGCCCTTTGAGGGAAAAATGAAAGACTCCCTTTCTCTTTCAGTTGCTTCAACAAACAGGACACTTGCAAGCAATGGGACTCGAGTTGACAGGAACATTAAATCTGCTGAGAAGGTCCATGATCATATCTTTACAGTTCCTTATTCTGATCACTGCTGCTTTCATGAAATAAAAGATTTCGTTCAGCTAACCAAACCATATAATGTGAAAGGCATTGTGTCCATGTCTTTCTGCTATGTTAACCCTGCTTACTATCTCAGTCACCTGTTTAGCTCGAACCATTCATCTCAGAAAACTCGTCTGGATCCAGAAATTTGTATGGAAGTTGAAAAAGTTGAAAGGAAAGGAAAGATGAAAATCAGAGATATCAGAGGTACAGAGATGAGAAAGAGGACCAATAAGGCTAACTTTTTAGGGGTTCGAATTCGTAGGGTGGCCATACTGAGACAGATAAGCCGTGGTGTAAAAATTGTGGAATGTGATAGTCCTGACTGATTAAAGTTCAGTGTTGGCCTTTGTGTTTACTGATGATACAGGACAAAAAGGAAGTTTAGCATTGCATCAATTAAATAGAAGATGATATTAAACACCCTAGGATTTCATGGTTCTAAAACTTTGTACAGAAGTTCTAATTTTGGGAGAAAGCAGCTTGTTCAGAGGTTATACTTGACGTTTTGCTGAAATATATCTGAGTTGGGTAGTTTTGCTGTCCTGGAATCAGAGTTTAAGAGGTATAAGCAAGTTGAACACCAAGTATGTGAATCAGATAGTATCCCTGGTATGCTATTTTAGCTCCCCATGTTTCTTTCACACTTCAATTGCCAGCTCAGTGCTCACCCCTCCAAAAACAAAAGTGAAACATATTATGCAGTTTCTATTATATGGTTCCTGATTGAGCTGGTAGTATAGCATATGTCGTATGGTAACTTTACAAACTTCCATCGTTGTTCTGTTTTTTTAGGTGTACAAATCTTTAATCTCTGATGGAATAACTTATACTTAGTACATATATCCTTGACTATGCTTGTCAATCATCCATGAAGTTAGCACATAATTCACCCTTTGTTCTTTGGGAAAGTTTTCCCTTGGTGACTATGGGATTTTTAGATGATTCATATACGATTTACTTGTGAGTTCAATACTTGTTTGTAATGATCTTTGGATGTTTAGGTTGCTCCGAAGACTATCAATTGTAAGGCCCCGTTAAGTTCACCTTATTTTTGCTGAACCGAAATTATTATTACTAAAACAAAATTATAGTTGCTGAACTTAAATTATATTTGTTGAATTTAAATTATTTTTACTGAACTTAAATTAATTTTACTAAATTGAATTTATTTTTGCTAAATTGAAATTATTTTTATAGCTTTTCTATTATAATTGTTCTTTAAGAAAACTGAATTTTACTGAACTAAACTTATTTTTATTAAACTGAAATTATTTAACTAAACTGGACTTAATTTTATTGAACTGGACTTAATTTTTACTGAACTGAAATTATTTTTACTTAATATTTTTTTTTAAGTGGAGTGAACAGGGCCTAAGTCTACATAAATAAGAAATTGATGGTTATGCTAATGAAGAAATATGGAAAATTAAGGTGTTTTTTTTATGGACAATGACTAAAAAAGGAAAATTAAGAATTTGTTGGCTTATTGTTGTGCAGTAATGCTAAGGAATTGATTGTTTTTTTTTTCTTCCCATTTTTCAGCTCTCTCAGGCCCTGTTTTGTTCACCTTACAAAAATAACATTCAGTAAAAATAATTCCACTTCAATAAAATCAATTTCAATCAGTAAAAATCAGTAACTAAAAAAAATATATATAATAGAGAATCAATTCAATAAATTAATTTAACTTAAGTAAAAATAATTTCAATTAGTAAAAATAATTTAAATTCAGCTAAAATGATTTAAGTTTAGCAAATTTAATTTCAGTTCAGCAAAAATAGAGTGAAGTGAATGGGGCTTTAATAGTCTTTTAGTCTCACTCTCAGCCTCTCACATTGCTTCATTTGACTTTTTATAATCAACGTTCATGGATCTTGACTGTTATTGCTTGTTCTATGACATAAAGATTCACTCAACTGTAATATGTGGTAGAAAATATACTTGTTATAAGTGTTTTAATTTTTTTCTTAAATTTTACTCAATTGTAATATGTGTGAGTGTGACATTGTCATTAGTATTTTAATTTGTTTTTTTAAAATATTATGGTCAAATATGCATCTTAGAGACTGTAAAATTGAAAATAGAGCAACTAATTTGAATTGCTGTGAGATTCGAACTATAAGTCTTAGTAGGTTAATCCAAGATGACTATTCTTAGTACTTAGTAGTCTAAACCCATGATAGAGAAACCAGTTTATTTTTTCATAAACTTTGATCTAACTAGGGGCGATTTGAAGTTTTCCTAAACGTATAAGAGGATTTTGAAATATAATGAGTAAAGTTCAAAGTTTCAAGTTAATGACATATTGTCAACAAGTATTATTGCCTCTATTTCTTTTACCGTAATTTCTGTACATTTTGACTATTCAAGTATCATAACTTTTACTTTGATCATCGATTGATCAAGTTTTTATAATTTGTAAAAATTTTTGATACGAAAAATTAATGGTTAAAGTAACATTAACAAGGTATGAAATGTGGCATACAAAGAAACTATACGGAGTAGAAAACTAGAAAAGTACTGGTAATTGACTAACATAAGTGTTCATATTAGAAAAACTAGAACAGATTTAGACTTCAACAAAAAGAATATACCAAAAAACAAAAAATAAAAATTCGAATACGTCAAAAGGACAGTGGAACGGCACTATAAATATCTAGAAGATTGAAAATTCAGACAATAATGAAGTCAACAACTTGTCTTCTATTTGCCGTTTAAATTGGGCTCCATAAAATTTTTCTATCTTGACTTTTCATCAACCAACTAACATTAATATTGTTGTACCAAGTTTGATAAATCAATTAATTTTTAACGCGTATACCACCTAAATTCATTACACACTTATCCAAGTAACCACTACTCCATTTTCATTATCATCTTCAAATTTTTGTTTTTTGTTTTTTTATTCCTTCTTTTGCTTTGCCATGAAGTTGAACTATAATCCATGGTTAAAGGTTAATTATCTTTTTCTTTGTTTCGCGTATTTATTTCGTCTTTCCCATGGAACAGACCGAATTACCGCGAATTATTCGATCTCGGGTGATCAAACCATAGTGTCACAGCCTGAAGGGATTTTTGAGCTGGGGTTTTTTAACCCATCAGGTAACTCATCTAAATACTACATAGGTATTTGGTACAAGAAAATTTCTTTGCAAACTGTAGTTTGGGTAGCAAACAGAGAAAATCCTGTCATTGATAAGCATTCATGTGAGCTTAAAATTATGAATGGTAACTTAGTTCTTACAAATGGATCAAAGTCACCTGTTTGGTCCTCAAACTTGACATCCACCAAGTCGGACTCGATCAACGCAGTCTTACTTGATTCAGGAAATCTTGTAATCAGGGACGGATCTGAGAGAAACCAAAAGCCACTCTGGCAGAGTTTTGATGAGCCTACTAATACTTGGCTTCCTGGTGGTAAGTTGATTTATGACAAACGGGGTAGGAAACCTCAACGACTAATTTCGTGGAAGAATCAAGATGATCCTGCTCGTGGTTTATTCTCTCTTGAACTTGTGCCTACAACTAAAGAGTATGTTATCAAGTGGAATTTAACACGTCAGTTCTGGACAAGTGGGGCATGGGATGATCAAGAGAGGATTTTTAGTCTAGTTCCTGAGATGAGGTTGAATTATATATATAATTTTAGCTATATTGATAATAGTAATGAGAGTTATTTCACTTATAGCGTTTATCATTCATCTTTTATATCAAGGTTTGTGATGGATATTTCCGGTCAGGTTAAGCAACTGACATGGCTAGAGGAGACCCAACAGTGGAACTTGTTTTGGTCGAATCCAAAGCAACAGTGCCAAGTATATGCATATTGTGGTGCTTTTGGGAGTTGTAACCAAAATTCTTTGCCATTTTGCACCTGCTTGAAGGGGTTTAAACCTAAGTCGGAAGGGGATTGGGGGCTGAGTGATTACTCAAGAGGATGTGAAAGGAAGACCGACTTGCAGTGTGAAAGACCGAATTCTCAGAAAAAGAGGGACCGTTTTTTTCCGTATAACAATTTGGTTTTACCCCAAAATGACACAAAGTTGAATGCTGGAACTATTGAGGAATGCGAAGCAGCTTGCTCGAAGAACTGCTCGTGTTATGCTTATGCGTATGATGGTAGTGGCTGTTCTGCTTGGCACGAAGATCTGTTGAACATTCAGCAACTTTCTGATGGTGATACTAGTGGTAAAACTCTTTATCTTAGGCTTGCAGCCTCAGAATTCACAAAAAAGAAGAACAAGAATTTGGTTATAGGCGTTGTCGTGGGCTCAATTATTGTCACATTAGCCCTATTCTGTCTGGTTTTTGGGCTATTGTGGAGGCAGAAATATCGATCTGTTGGTTCTTCAAACAAGGGTGTTGAAGGATCCTTGATTTCTTTTGGATATAGGGAGCTGCAGCACGCGACAAAGAATTTTTCTGACAAGCTAGGTGGAGGTGGGTTTGGGTCTGTTTTCAAGGGGACATTGCCAGATTCATCAGTAATTGCTGTAAAGAAGCTAGAAAGTTTCAGTCAAGGTGAGAAGCAATTCAGAACAGAAGTAAGCACCATTGGGACAATTCAGCACGTGAATCTTGTTCGCCTTCGTGGGTTTTGCTCTGAAGGGACAAAAAAGCTATTGGTTTATGATTACATGCCAAATGGCTCTTTGGAAGCACATCTCTTCCCTGAGAAAAGTTCAAATCTCTTAGACTGGAAAACAAGATACCAAATTGCACTTGGGACAGCAAGAGGGTTGACATATCTACATGAGAAATGTAGGGATTGCATCATTCACTGTGATATTAAGCCAGAAAACATACTTCTGGATGCTGAGTTTTGCCCAAAAGTTGCAGATTTTGGATTGGCAAAACTTGTTGGCAGGGATTTTAGCCGGGTTCTGACAACCATGAGAGGAACTAGAGGCTACCTTGCGCCTGAGTGGATTTCAGGAGTCGCAATAACTGCAAAAGCAGATGTTTTTAGCTACGGTATGATGCTGTTTGAACTCATATCAGGCCATAGAAACACTGAACAATCAGTATACGGCACAGTGAAGTTCTTCCCTACTTGGGCTGCTAGCAAAGTAGCCGAAGGAGCAGAAATCATGAGCATATTAGACCCTAGATTGGAAGGTAATGCTGATGAAGAAGAAGTTAAGAAAATATGTAAACTTGCGTGTTGGTGCATTCAAGACAACGAAATTCAAAGACCATCTATGGGGCAGGTGGTTCAAATAATCGAGGGTGTTTTGGATGTAAATATGCCTCCAATGCCTAGGTCCCTTCAAGTTTTTGTTGAAGAACAGGACAATATAATGTTCTACACTGAGTCATCTTCAGCCCAGAGTTCACAATCTCGAAATACTTCATCTTCAGCCCAGAGTTCACAAACTCGAAATACTTCATCTTCAGCCCAGAGTTCACAAACACGAAATACTCCCACCGCTTCATCATCTTCCATAAGCAAGAACAGTGTCTCCACAATGAGCAACAATAATGCAGTTGAGTAGATTAATTCATCCTCTGTAGTCTGCACTTAGTTTGAGTTTCAGGGTGTTTTCGATCGTGTGCGCTTCATGTACTTGTAGAGTTGTAGAAAGTATATCTTTATATGTAAGAGAAGGCAGGGTGTATCAGTTTATCTCCTGTGCTCATACTGTAACACAAAATTGAGCATTAGTGGAGGATGATTGATTTTTTTTTTTCATTTCATTGTATAAAGTTATGGATAAATTTTCCATTGTACTATGATGCTTCTTCTGTCACATTGTAATTATAATAATGGAGCATTTTAAGAAATGATTATATTTTCCAAAACTAACAAGTCGTGATAAACAATTATATTTAGTGTTCCCCTAATTAGTACAACAAATCAGTGATAAAAAATTGTGTCGAACAACCTTATGTTCATTGTATGCTCACTTATATTCAAATTATAAGACCAGATAAAGATCAATATTCGACAAATTAAGTTTTGTCATGATTTCATACGTTGATACTTCGTTGATTACTTTTTATATTGTCCAAATTACAATCCAAGAAGTTTTGCATTTAAAAAGAAAGCATTTAAAAAAAAAAGGAAAAATTGCTCCCTTTAATCTGAACTTTGTCTCGTCCGCCGAAAATAATCTCAACTTTCGTACATTATCTATCACTCCCAACTTTATGGGGTATTAATTTTTGTTGCACCCAATAGGTCATCTAACCTGATGTAGCAGGTTACCTAGCCACGTGTTAGCGTAAGATTGACTTAATTTTTTTTTTATAAAAAAACAAAAAACAAAAAAAAAAAAAAACCCACAAACCACCCATGCCCAGCGGCTGCCACCACACCCCCACCTCCACCCCGCCGAGAAATCACCCCCACCCCCAAAAAACCCCTCTCCTGCTGCCGGAAACCACCGCCCAGCTTTCCCCCTCCCTTGAAACCCACCCCTTCCCTTCCCCCACCCCCGAAATCCCCTCCCCACCCACGAAAACCCCTCCTCCACCCCTTCCCTTCCCCCACCATAGTTTCCCAAATCACGAGCAAGGAGGCCACGAAATTGGCCGAAAATGGCAGAAATCGGCCGATTTAGGGTTAACACCAACCATTCAGCCTGAAATCGGCCAATTTCGACCGTTTTCACCCATTTCTATGGTCGTTTTCAGGGAGAAATGGGGGTGCGTTTCTGGTGGTTTTGGGCGTTTCTGGGGGTGGTTCCGGCGTCGAGGTGGGCCTGGGGTTGCGACACCGAGGTGGGCCAGGGGTTCAGGCGTGGAGGTTGGGGCTGAGAGAAGCTAAAGGAGGTGGCGGTGGTGGAAGGTGGCTGAGAGAAGCTAAGGGGAGGTGGCTGTTGGGGTTTTTTTATTTTAATTATGTTTTTAATTTTTTTTTTCTATTTTTTTCAACCAATTACATGTTGACACGTGTGGAAAAAAAAAAATTCAGAAATGTTTACCTGATTTACCGGTTGCAAGTCATTTGGGTGCAATAGAATTTAATACCCCCTAAAGTTGGGAGTGATAGATAATAAACGAAAGTTGGGATTAATTTCGGCGGACGAGACAAAGTTCAGATTAATGGGAGCAATTTTTCCTTAAATTCGTTTAGTGGTTTTAGTGTGGTGGTTAGGATCCGGATCCCACGCCCTTTCCCCCACAAACACAACCCAGCCCCTTCCCTTTCCCCCTTCTTGCTGCTCCGATCCTAACCACCACATCGAAACCACCGTTAACCCTAAAATTCGTTTAGTGGTTTCAGTGTGGTGGTTTAGGGGTTACGGGTGGCCGCAAAGGTTAAGGCGAGTTGATTCGTTGGGGTTTGGAGGAAGATCGATCAAACTGTTGCAGAAGAGTGGTGGTGGTTGCGATGATTCGAGTTCTTCGATTATGGTTTCGGTGTGGTGGCTAGGGTCGGGGCAGCAAGAAGAGGAAAAGGGAGGGGTTTGGGCTGGGTTGGTAGGGAAAGGGAGTAGGAGGTAGGGGGAGGGGGCTGGGTGGCTAACGAGAGGGGTTGGGCTGGCATATATATATTTTGGGAAGCTGATGGGAGGCAGTTAGGGTGGCTAAAGAGAGAGTGGTGGTTGGGAGGTGATAATGAGGGTGGCTAAATCATACTAACGGAATTTCTACTGAAAGTGTTAAGTGGTAGCAATTTTTAATAAACTTACTTTTGTTTGGTAGTAAAATTAAATAAAAATTTTCTCCGATAGTAAAAGTGAAATGCATATGTTATCCTACTACCAAAAGTGAAAATTTCCTTAAATAAACTAAAGGCAAAAGACAAATGAAAGTTAACGAAGGATGAACATTAACAAAAAACCAAAAAAAATAAAAAAATAAAAATAAAAATAAAATAACTCGGTACCGAGTATATTAAAACGAAAAACACTGAAAAGACATAAATACCCTCGACAAGTTTCTGCGAAGTAAGGAGAGAAATACGGTGTGAAACTTGTGAAAGCCGACCAGCCATAGCTGTTCTGTCCATGGGTTGTCATCCTAACCCCTTCTTTACCTCCCTTTCCGCGAACCTCTCTTCATTTCATTCATTCCTTCACCAATCACCACTATATAATCTCCTTTTCCTTCCACAATACTTTCCAATTACAATACTTCTCTAATCTCCCCTCTTTCTATCGACTAACCACTTAAATTAAAACCAATCAATTTGTCCGAGGATGGCGGGGTTTCAAGTAAAAGCATCCACATCATCGGACCAGTTCGAAGACCACTTACCGGTAATGGCGGATAAGCTCGGCGGGGAAGGACTGATTGCGGAGCTATGCAACGGGTTCGAGCTATTAATGGATAAAGAAAAAGGGGTGATCACATTTGAAAGCTTAAGGAATAACTCTGCTTTGTTGGGGTTAGACAATATGACAGATGATGAGTTGATTAGTATGATGTTAGAAGGTGATTTAGATGGTGATGGTGCTCTTAATCAGATGGAATTTTGTGTATTAATGTTTAGATTAAGTCCTGATTTGATGTCTGATTCTGAATATTGGCTTCAACAATCTCTAATTCAAGAGGTTAATTTTAGATTTTGAGAGATTATATAACAAATTATTGATTGGAAGAGATTAATTTGGAGTATTTTTTTGTGATTTTCTTTGAATTGACTAATTAAATAAGTAACTTCTTTTTCATTTGATCATTAATTTAATTAATCCTGTTTTGTACAATTGTTTAGTAAATTAAGGTTTTGCAGAACAGAAGATAACACTAGCTAATTAATTACTAGTATATGAAACTAACGGCATTATTAGCATCTTTTAATGGCGCATTGGCACAATAAGAAAGCCCGGCATACATAGCTTTGAAAATAAGGAAAACAGAATTATTATTATTATTATTATTATTTTTAATAAAGAAACAAAAAACAGAAATTGTTTATTTGGCACAATATAGATAATCTTTTATACTCCACTTCTTTCTCGTTGCTGTAATGGCAACATATATTCTTGGATGTGTAGATGATTGTACCCTGTAACATGATATACTACCTCCGATTTTTTTTAGTTGCAACTTTGGATTATTTTATACTCGTATCTCTCAAATAATTTCCCAAAGTTCTAACTAAAAAAAATCGGAGGTAGTACTTCAATACTACATGTCTACCTCTATTTCACAATTAGACAAGAGCTAATGAACAACCCGGGATGTTAGGTAAAATTGTTGAGATTAGGAGCGCAAGCGGAAGCACAAAATGATATAGAGAAATAAATAGATAAAAGATGGATAAGAAGAGTAATACTCCCTTCATTTTTAAATACTTGCTTCACTTTTCTTTTTCGGCCGTTTTAAAATACTTGCTCCATTTCCTTATTTGAAAAACTTTTATAATATTAAATTAATTTTTTCTCACCTAGCGGACCCACCATGATCATATTTTATTATTTCATATTCTCTCTCCTCCAATTCTCCCTACTACTTTTGCTTTTTACAATTTTTTTATTTTTCCACTTACCCCACTACCTCCATATTTTATTACTTTCTCCAATTTTTCCTAAAACTCCGTGCATGAAGAAATTTAGCAAGTATTTAAAAACGGTGGAGTAAGAGACACACAAATTTAACGTGGAAAAAACCCTCAAATAAGGTAAACAACCCACCAACAATGAGTACTAATTATCCAATATATGAAAAAAGGTTATGAGAGTACAACCCCAAAGGGTACAAGATTATGGTATGACTCTCTAGATTATATTGAATCTAATTCTCAAAGAGAGCTAAAAAAACTCACTAATGAGCTAATAGTTGTGTGTCTTCTTGTGTCATGTTCTTAAAACAAGAGGAATATGATATATATATATATATATATATATATATATATATATATATATATATATATATATATATATATATATATATATATATATATATATATATATATATATATATATATATATATATATATATATATATATATATATATATATATATATATATATATATATATATATAGGGGAGGGATCCGGTAAGAACCCCTCCTTATATAAGAACCCTAGTTATATAAGAACCAATCTCAGTCGTAGGATTAAGGTAATTTAGACGGTTAAGATTAGAACACGTATTTTTCCTCATACCCCCTACGGCCCTACCACCCGATCAAAATTTTCTCTCTCCTCTAACTTTCTCTCTCTTCGTGCTCATCTCATTCTCTCTCTGCAAACCCCCAAAAATCTCCATAGAAATTGCAATTTGAAGGATTTTCGACTCAGGTATTTTTTTTTTTTTCCGATTTTGTTCAAATTTCCATGAACTTCTGACTTTTTGATTTGATTTTGCGATTTCGTGATTTGATATTTGCGTTTTTCTGTTTTGATTTTAATGGTTTTTTTTAGTTCGATTTTTCGATGGTTTTTTATGTTCTAATTATGTTTATCTATCGATTTTTCGATGGTTTTTTTTAGTTTAATGTTTTTCTGTTTTCGATTTTTCTGGTTTTTTTTTTAGTTCGATTTTTCGATTTTAATGGTTTTTCTGTTTTCGATTTTTATGGTTTTTTTAGTGTGAAATTTGCAGTTTAATCAATACAAATCAGCAATAATTTGTGTGCTTTTTGTTTTTTTTAATCTGGTGAGAATTTGATTATTCCGTTTTAATGCAATTCTTGATAAATCTTTAGTTAAAGCATATTTGGATGAATAGATGTAATGTGTATCATATATGTATATAACTAATATAATCATGTGCGGATGTGCCTATGATATTTGAAGTGGTGATAATAATTCAAGCTTATGTACATGATACATTTTATGTCTTGCTCAATTCCTCATTGAAATTGTTTATCATCATATACAAGTCCATGTTGTAAGGTTGGATACTTGATGGTCTTAAACCTTGTATTTTTGTTGGCACATAATAGTAGATGTTTAGAATTAAATTGCCCTAATCCAAAAATGAAGGCCCTGAACAAGTAAAAGTTTAGTAGCCAAACTCTTAAACTGAGACTTAGCACTATATTGCACTCATTTTTGCCAAAATGACAGTAGCGGCTTAACCGACCTTAACAAGGTGAGTATAGCTATTTAAATTAGTAGCCTCAGAGTCTCAAATAGTGTCACGGTTAGTCTTATAAACAGCTAATAGGTTTTGGCACGTACACTAGTTTGTTTTGACGCGTACACCTAACAATTAAATAGCATAGTCCAACCTAAATAACGTAATCCAACCTGAAATCTAACCATTACAATAACCCTATGTTCTAAATATATGTTTTAAGTTCTTTTCATATGTTCTAAACTCTTTTTACCTATGGTCTAAATTTTCCTCCCTATTTTTCTATTTTTTTTTTCCATGTGTTCTAGATTTTTTTTCCTATGTTTTTTTGTATGTTCTAACATTTTTTCATATATTCAAAACCAATGTTCTAACTTTGTTCATATGTTGAAACTTTATTTTCCAATGTTCTAAACTTTTTTTTCTTGTTGATGGATATGTATTTGGTATTTGTTGTTGATGGATATGTGTGATAACACTCTTCCGTCAATGTTATTTAATGGCTTGAAATTGACTTTGAGTTTGATGAGTAGTGAGTCTGAGTCATCTTTTGGATTACCAATGGACACAATACGAGTGACCGGGATTGCTGTACATGTTGCCTTGATTTGGTGGCTATTGTTGTCATTGAGAGCAGAAGCAATGTTTGTATGAAGATTTTGTTGCATATTTGCCTTGATTTTGCTGATTTTTTCAATAGCGGCTAGCCTGGCTAACCTAAAAGAACAATGCATATAGTACTTCGTAGAGTAAATAAAAACCTTAAAAGTATAAAACCCTCTCCCACTACGCCAAAAATGTGGGCTCTGAGCCTCTGAGTCCTTACGGTACTTAGTATTACATAATCTATTAATTTAGTAGGATTTGGTTTTTAGCTATAAAATGGACAAAATAACAGAGAAGCCTGAGAAGATGAAATTAGATTTACATGGGATTTGATTTAAGAATGTAAAACATTTGTCAGATGTCAGACTGAAGATTAATTAGTTCTGAAAGGTTTTGCAGAACAATCAGATATAGTGTACAATATAAAATTCTGTCATGCCCAATTCACAAACTTTTTTTCAAAATTGGTGATGTTGGTGCGATTGCCCCTGTTTGTAGGGGTTGTGGTGTGGTGGTTGATTTATGCAGCAGCAGCTAATTGGTTAGGGGTTGTTGGTAGTGAACTTGTGATTGCAGGGCTGAAAATAAACTTTAGAACATAGGTAGAAAAAATTTGGAACATAGGAAAAAATTTAGAACATAGGTTGAAATAATTTAGAACATGGGCTGAAAATAAACTCAATCAAACCTTATCATGTTTCTGTTTCATTTGTCTTTTAAATTTCTAGTTTACTCATTCTATTTTGGGTTTTTCACTCTCCAGCATGTTCTAAACTCTTTTTAAGCATGTTCTAAACTATTTTTCAGCATATTCTAAATTATTCCTATGTTCAAAAATATAATAATAATAATGTTGGAATGTTACTAATGTTTTTGATTTCTTAAAATTGCAGCAAAATGCAAGGCCAAAATGAAGAAAAATCAGAAGGAGGAGTTACTAATATACAAGAAGAAGAAATTACTTATGTAAGAAAAAGGTAACTAAAATAATGTTCTAAACTTTACCTATTATGTTTTAAATTTTTTTCTAAAGTTTTTCATTATGTTCTAAAGTTTTCCCTTAAGTTCTAAAGATTTGTATTATGTTCTAAAGTTTTCCATTATGTTCTAAAGTTTTCCATTATGTTCTAAAGTTTTCTCTTATGTTCTGAAGATTTGTATTATGTTCTAATATGTATCCATTATAGTTTATGTTTATCTTATCCCTTTATATTTGCACTCTATTTAATGTTAATTGTATTCTAATTATTTTTGATTGTTTTTAAAGGAAAGTTGAAAACGTTGAAGCGGAAGTAATCGATAGATCGGAATTTAAGAAGCATATTGAAAGTAAAAGTGTTGCTATAAGACATAGAAAACTTCCAACAAGGCTTCAACCACCTCGAAAATTGCAAAAAAAGGAAGGAAGAGAAAAAGATCAAGAAGAAGGAAAAGATCAAAAAGAAGAAGAGGGTAATAATGTTGAGGATGATGACGAGAATAATGATAGTGAAGATGACGGTGAGGATGATAATAAGGGTGATGTAAAGATGAAAGAGAAAGATGAAAAAGAGGAGATGGAAGATGATAGTGAGGAGGAACAAAAAATCAATAAAAAAAATCAAACTCAGGTAATAGTACTCCTTAATATTTACAATCTTTATTTTTATGTTCTAAACTGCACGCTTATGTTCTAATTTTGCTTATCTATGTTCTAATTATGTTTATCTATTCATGGTGAGGATGTGAAGAAGAAGAAAAGAAAGATTGAAAAAGAAGAAGATGGTGAGGATGTCCAAGTAGTAGAAGCTAATGAGCAACTAGTTAAGAGACAACCTTATCAAAGAGTACCTCCTACTCAATTCATGAAGGATGTGTTGATAAATCTTTCTGAGAAACAAAAGCAAGCTATTCGGAACATTGGTTTTGGAGGCTTTTTGGAATTGGATTTACCAATCCATATAAATTCTATGTAAGTAGTAGAATGTTATGTTCTAAAATCATATTCTAAAATCAT